CAAAAAAAAATAGAACACCTGTCACTCTAATTTTTGTTTTCATATAAAGGTATAAGGGTAGGCTTTCATAATCTCCACAAGGGAAAAATTTCTCATCGGTAGGGAATTTTTTAACAGTGAAAATTCAAGAAGGTGCTTCCAAACACGAAATCAATATGACACACAAAATATTTAAAAAAAATTTCGAAAAAAATAGAACACCTGTCACTCTAATTTTTGTTTTAAAATGAAGGTATAAAGATAGGCTTTCATAATATCCACAAGGGAAAAACTTTTCATCGGTAGGAAATTTTTTATCAGTGAAAATTCAAGTAGGGTTTCCAAACACGAAACCAATATAACAAAATAATATTTTTTTTACCAAAAAATAGAAGATGTGTAACTTTAATTTGTGTTTTAAAATAAAGGTATAAGGGTAGGCTTTCATAATATTCACAAGGAAAAATTTTTTATCGGTAGGAATTTTTTTATCAGTGAAAATTCAAAAAGTGGTTTTCAAACACTAAATCATTATTCACTGATAAAAAAATTCCTTCCGATGAAAAATATTTTTCTTGTAGAAAAGCCACAACAAAAATTAGAGTCACACGTCAATTTAGACATAAACGAATACAGAACAAAATAAAAATAGAATTCGCATGGGAAAATTAATGAAACTTGTTCTTACCTGTATATAAAAAAACTTGAACAAGAAATGAAAAGTCACATCATTGCCCTTGTCCAAAATACAAAAATTGACTAACTACCGTTGGCGGTAATGCGCTTTTTCAGAAAAATCGTTGCTGAGAATCGGGTGCTAACTTCACTCGCGTCTAAGTATGTATTTAAATTTTATCTAAAGAGTCCATTGATTGGTCGGACCACATATGGTTAACGGATAGCAAGTATTTGTTCGTTACCTATAGGCATTAGATTCTGATATCTCTTCTAGATAACTTTCAAACTTGCTCTTCACAATAGTCACAGACCAAACGAGTCGAGCAACATTCCACTTCAATTATATCGGAAAATTTGGAAACTGATCTCCTTCAAAATTTATCATCCAGTCTTTTTCTCAGGGATATATGGGATCTACAGTTGACCTATGAGATCTACAAAAAAAAGGATTACAAGAAAAATCTCCAAAATCTCCGAGTCTATTATACATTATTTTAATTCATAACCAAAAAATTACATATTTTTGGCATTTTTCCACCCTTTTTTAACCTAGAATATGTCATTGCCTGAACTTAACATATTTTGGAATGTTTATTCACTGCCAAATTTTGTACGTTACACCGGGAGCTCAAATTAGAGCTAATAATTTTTGTACCACTCTTTTTTGATCGCAACCGAGCATCAGAATCGTATAGGAATTTGAATTTGTCTTTGGAAGAGCTCAGGTACATACCTACTAAGATAGTATTATAATTAATGTACCCGCCTTCAAGTCGTCTCAAAAATTATTTTTTTTTTGGAAATTTTGCTTTTGAACGATGTATTTTCACTTCTTGTTCATGAAAAAGTGCGGAATTTTCCAGGTTTTCTTCGTAGCTTTGTTTCTAATTACGAATTGATAAATGCAAATTAGCATTGTTTTTGCCCATGTACTGCGAAAACCCCCATTTTGACAAGTGTCCCGAATAATTTTCGGGGATAATACCACGAGAGCTTCAAAATTATCTGGTTCATTTTAAAGCTCAAGTGGTATTTAGAGGATTATTTCACGTATGAGAATGCAAAAAATATGGAAATAAATATGTATTAAACGATTTAAACATCTTAACGATCAATACAAATAAATGGTTGCTATCAGGAACCGTTAGTTTGTATCAAAAATTAGCATGACAACCATGTATACAATAACATGGGAGAATTATCGCTGTAATTCTCTCTAGTTAAACAAATGGAAAAAAGAATTTTCGCTGAAATTTTGAAAATCGTCACTTGTCTTATGGGATTTCTAACACATGAGTGGAATAATCAGGTTAAATTTGCAAAACGTAAATGTCTGTCAGACGAATTGTTTTGTCTTGTCTCCGCGATTGCTCGCTCCGCTCGCCAAATCTCAAAAGAAAAGATCCTCGGAAACGTAAATCCAGCAAAAACGTGAAAAATCTTTGGATCTGGTACTGATAGGTCTCAATGAAAACGGCATTTTTTTTTTGGTTTTTTGAGAAAGATTCCTGCAAATGGAAACATGTAAGTTATAAATAAATGCGGAAAATGCACATTTTCCATCGCAAAATTATATTCAAAATTGACTACACTACGAAAATTCCCCACTATCGGTCGCTATCAGCGCGCTTTGTTGTCGACACACTTATGACCAGTATTGAACAAACTCTAACGAAACATAACTATGTAGAAATATGCAAACTAACTGAAACTAACCCACCACGTAATGCCAGCTAGTCCTTACAAGTTAATATTGAATTTAAAAAAAAGCGCGCTTCGCGCACTTTGTTGTCAACCAGTTCACTTATAGCCAGTAAAACGAACTGTAACGAAACTAACCAAAAATATGCAAACTAACCCAAATTAACCCGTCCACATAATGTTTACTAGTCCTGGTATATTAATATTGAATTTAAAATAACAACCGCGCTTTGTTAGAGTAACCAGTACACTTATAATCAGTAATAAACGAACTGTAACGGAACTAACCAAAAATATGCAAACTAATCCAAACTAACCCGACCACATAATGCGTGCTAGTCCTTGTATGTTAATAATGAATTTGAAAAACAAAGCGCGCTTGGCGCGCTTTGTTGTCAACCAGTACACTTATAACTAGTACCATTAAACGAAACTAACCAGAAATATGCAAACTAACCCGTCCACGTAATGCGTGCTAGTCCTTGTATGTTAATAATGCATTCAAAAAACAAAGCGCGCTTCGCGCGCTTTTTTGTCAACCAGTACATTTATAACCAGTATTAAACGAAACTAACCAGAAATATGCAAACTAGCCCAAACTAACCCGTCCACGTAATTGAATTTAGAAAAACAAAAACGCGCTTCGCGCGCTTTCCTTTCAACCAGGGGGGCTTTATTTGAAATTGATGCAGCTCTGCGTACACGCAAATGACGTCAATGGGACATGATAGATGGCGTCGACAACACACAAAATGTTACAAATAATAATAGATGGCGCTAGTTAAAAAATTACATATGAAAAATTAATTTATACAAGATTGGTACAAGACAAGTTTCCCAAGCAAATAATACAGGGTGTCCTTAGATAAACTGACACATTTTGCAGGTAAATATTTCGAAAACGGGATAAGATAACGCGATGCGGTTTGTTCTGGGAGAATATGGATTTTTTAAAGTTTTTTTTCACATTATTGCCGAATCCTAAAATTTGCTGAAATTTGGTTTTACAGTCATGCGATTTTTTGAAATAAAATGACTGCCTTATTTTTAATGAAACACCCTGTTTATTTTTTCATCGTCAGAAAGCCTGATTTTTCTACTTTACAAAAATGTATAATTTTTTTCAATTATCTTGAACTTGCATCGTGAAAATTGAACTTTGTCGAAGAGAATACCATCGACTAACCAAAAAAAAATTGAGAAGCAATTTGTGTTTAATACTGTTATTAACTAATTAGCGCATAGTTAACTAATAATACAAGTATTAAACACAAATAAGTGCATATAAAACGCAACTTAATTTTTATATTTTTTTTGGCCAGTCGATGGTATCTACACTCTCCAACAAAGTGCAATTTCACGATTCAATTTCATGATAATTAAAAAAAAATTACACATTTTTGTGAAGTAGAAAAGTCACGCTTTCTGACGATGACAAAATATACCGGGTGTTTCATCAAAAATAAGGCAGTATGTAATTATTTCAAAAAATCGAATGTCTGTAAAACCAAATTTCAGGATTCGTAAATACCTACCATGAAAAAAAACTTTAAAAACTCCTCATTCTTCCAGAACAAACCCCATCCCGTTATCTTTTCTCGTTTTCGAGATATTCACCTGTAAAATGTGTCAGTTTATCTAAGGACACCCTGTATAATATTAATTATGTTTTTGAATTAAAACGAAATATTTTATTATGAAACTACATATTAGGTATGCTTGAAAAGAAAAAAACATGTCGAAATGGAAGGATACACAATCGAGGTAAATACAAAAAAATCACTATAAATTCGCATTTTTTCCAAAAATTCCGCACTTTTTCTTGAAGATTAAATAAAAAATAATCGATTAACACCAAAATTTCCAAAAAAAAATCATTTTTTGAGCGACCCCTTAAAACGTACCAGAACCCATTCAAATTTTCTGTAGCCGTTCCATCTAAATCAACCTTCAACCTTGTAACTTCGGTAACAAACTATCTATAACCTCCTGTTTGCCCACTATAAAAACTTCTTGCATCCGTAGCGATGAGCTTAGCTTTGACCTCTTCAATCATCATACTTTGGATGATTTCATAACTAAAGATTCGTATTTGAAATATTATTTGAAATTCAAATAGGAACAAAATTAATAATCAATAATATTGTTCACATCAGCTAGTTTTTATACTGTTGGCCTAATATTATTGACACACACATTCATAGACACCTCAACACCTAGGCATATTTGCCATCGAAGTTAGGTACCTACTCCCTACTCCATAAGTAGATTCAGTACCTATTTATCGCAGTTAAAATTTAAATCTAAAAAGTACGTGCCGTTTCACATGAGGCGTACAACGCGCCCTACGCTCTACGCCAGAAAGTCGGTTGGCATTGACTCTATAGGTACGTTTCAGATGCAGGCGTTTCGAACGGGCGTGTGCGCGAGCGTGAAATTTACGGCGCGGGCTGACGCCTGGCCCGCACGCCCGACGTAGGTACGCCAGGCGTACGGGCATGGTGACAAGTGTGTGCATTCACATGAGACGTCGCGCGCTGGAAGTGGGGGCATTTGGAGTAGCCGTGTTGTTGTCAATTCCAAAAGTTTTTAAGACATTCCAAGTAATTCCGTCGATTTGTACAGTCGTAGGCATAGGCACAATGGATATAGACACGGAACTACTAATTTCTGCTGTTGAAGAAAAAAACAATATTTGGGATGTTTCCGATGAGAATTATAAAAACCGAGACGCTAGGGAAAAATCTTGGGAGGATATTGCTGCTGCGATTATTCCCAATTTTGTGGGTCTAGATAACAAAGAAAAGAAAACAGCAGGTATGTACATGTATTTAATTTATTTAGATAGGTACATCATATTTAATGCTAATTTATTTTACTATCTTGCCAAGCCACTTGTCCACTGCCTATAAAATAATTGGCGAAAGCATCTCTTGTTGTGTTTATAGTAGAATTTTGTGGTATTCTTTGTGTCGAATCGCGAAATCCATGAACTGTTAAAGTATCTTCGAACTTGAAACCATCTCTTACACGAACAAAGTTGTGCAGAATGCAGCAGGCTTTAATAATTTTTTTTGAAAGGCGTAAACTTACATTCAATGGTCTGTGAAAAATTCGCCATTTATTTGATAATATCCCGAAGGTACATTCGATATATCTTCTAGCACGGGTTAACCTATAGTTGAATATTTTTTTTTTGTAATTTAGATTCTTTCGTGCATACGGCCGTAGTAAATTTTTTGTCAGCGGGAAGGCTTCATCACCCACTATGACATAAGGTTGAGCAATACTTTCTTTAGGTAAAGGTTTTCCTTTTGGGATATTTAATGAATCGTTTTGAAGTTTTTGCCAAAACGGACCATTTTTGAATACTGTGGAATCAGAAAACTTTCCATATGCTCCAACATCGATATAAGTGAAGCAATAATTCGCGTCACAAACGGCTAATAAAAGGACTGAGAAGAAATGCTTATAATTAAAAAAGAGAGAGCCACTTTTTGTCGGCTTAATAATTCTGATGTGTTTGCCATCGACGGCTCCGATACAATTAGGAAAATTTGCACGCTCTTCAAATTCCATGGAAATGTTTTCCCACTTTTCGGTACTTGGTATACCCATACATTCATCCTTGAGCAAAGTCCAAATAACGGTACAAACTTCTTCCACAACAATGCTGATAGTTGAAATGCCCAGTCGATATGTGTAATGTAAATCTGTGAATGTGTTGCCAGTTGCCAAATATCTGGAATAAAAAAAAAAATACGTTAAAATATTCATGATTTAATTTTTTTTTCAGTTGCTAAGCTACAAAAACGTTGGAAAACCGTCAGAGATGCCTTCACACGTTGCCGTGCTAAAGGAAAAACTTTGAAAAGCGGTTCAGCAGCAAAAAAAGGTGCCAAATATATATATTATGAGAATTTGAGGTTTTTGGAGAAAACCATGGAGCTAAATAGGTAATTTTAAACGATTTTATTTCCCTTGGAACCTGAAAAACATAAATTTTTAGCACCGAAGCAAATTTTACTGAGGCCACTCAACAATCAGATGACCAAAACAGTAACCAAGATGCTGATGACCATTCGGACAAAGAAATCGACGAAAAGGAGTTCCAAGCTGAAAGACTGCAACCACTTTTCGACAAAAAAAGGGCTTCAAAAAAAAATGCATTAGAGGAAAGTCTGGTTACCTTTTTAAAAAAATCTGAAGTGCCTATACATGATGAAGACAAATCATTTTTGGACTCACTATTACCAACTCTACGAAACTTCAATCAGGATCAGAAGCTACAATTCCGAATTGAAGTACTGAATTTAATGGTTAAAATCAAAAACTTTTCCTCAGCACAACCTGCAGCAATGGTTACACAGCCCTATCCTTCGAACAATTATTACCAACGATCTACGTCATCTGCATCAAGTGCATTCACTCCAAGACCAATGATTTCTCCTGGGACATCATACGACATTATATCGTCACCACCATCAAATTCATCTACTTCAAGCCAACTACCTGACCAGTTTATATACAATCCTGAATACACTGAATTGCCATAGCGTTAATAATGTAGTCAAGAATGTAATATTACAATAAAGTAATATAAAATTTAATAAGTTTGAGTAATATAATTTATTAACTTACCTGAGAGCTACACATAGTCGTTCTGTCGCCGAAATAGATAGCCTAACCACATTTTTATGGATCAACTTGGATTCTAGTTTTACATACAATTCGTCGAAGGTCGTAGTACTCATACGAAAGTAATTAAAAAATTTTCTTGGATGCTCCCTTAACTCCGAATAAAGGGTAACAAATGCACCTTTCAGTAACCTTTGGTTGACAATAGGATGTACCCAAAATCGTCTTTTTCTTGCTTTTTTCCTTTGAATTAGACAATATGCTGCCACGGCAACAACGCCCGAGGTACACAGTTGCGCGTCCATTTTGATACTGCTTCACTATCCCCATGTGAAAAGAAAGTCGACGCTCTACGTCCTACGCGCGACGTAGGACGTAGGCGTGTTGTACGCCTCATGTGAAACGGCACTACGATTTGCTAGGGCAGTACGCGAGGGATTTTGTCCATATTTTTTTCTACAATATTTTCGTAAAGTCATAAGTTCCTAGTAGAAATGCTTTTTTGATAATAGGAGAAGCTGGAACTACAACATATTAATGATTGATACTCTGACGAGTAAAAACTACATCAAGCTGAAAGCTTGAAAAATCATAATGAATATAAAATTTGGCACTTTTCCTTCTCGTTAGTTTTAGACTTCTTAGGCCCGGTCAATTAATCTTCAGATAAACTTGCTGGTAACTATATGCAAGATAATTTCACCGTTCTATAGTTCTATTTGTTGTCGGCTGACCAATGAGATTACAGATTGCGTTTTTATCCATCAGATTGCATACCTGACAGTTTATTAGAAGGTGAATAGACCGGCCCTTAATGATAGAAATTCAAACTCATTATAAAGTTCTTCGTTTATTACAGATACAAAGAAAATATTAAATACAGATCGAAAATTCTCCACGATCGCCCACTACCCCCCATGGACCTGGCTGCTTACTGGATAAACTACGTAATTCGTTATCAAGGAGCTCCACATCTTAGGGTGGCAGGAAAAAATTTGCCCTTCTACAAATACTATTTGCTAGACGTATTTGCTTGCATAAGTTGTGTCGTTTTAGTTCTATGTTATATATTTTTTAAGTTTGTCAGTATCGTTTTAACTATAAAAAGAAAAGCGAAAAAGGATTAGAGTATAGTTCTGGCCTGCGAGCTAGATCCTCCAGATGCAATTTTCTTGTCATAAAATCGGAATGGACCCTCAGCTGACTAAAGTTGAATAATGGGCTCTTTCACTAAAATTTAAATACGTAATTTAAGTATAAAATCCGGAGGGACTATTTTAGGCATATATACCAAAAAAAAATGTTCTACAAGGTTAAATAAGTTTTTTACAGGCACTTAAAACTGGCGAAATTCAAAATGATTTAAAACGCGCCGATTGATGTCGTCACATAAATATTTTTCATTTGTCTCATGTTGTTGCAAGAAGCTGACCGGCTCGGCTGTGTTGCGCTCTGTAAAAGCACAGCAAGTACGTAAAGGTTCGAATGCGCTGTTGTCGGTTGTGACTAAATGTAGTGCAACGTAAAAAATAAATAAAACTAAACATAAAAAATTGTATTAAATTGTGTTTAAGCATAATTTCAAATAAATTTTTATAAAATCTTGAATCCATAACTAATTAATTTAACTACTTTTCATGAGATTTTATCAACATTTCAGAAATAAATCTATTACAAATTTTCAATAATGACAATTAGTGGCAACACGGTGAAATTGCGAGATGCGACGTCATAGAAATAAATTCCGGGTTTTTATTTGGAGTTATTTCTTTTTTTTTTTCTGTTTTCTCAACAAGGACTATGAATTTTTCAAAAGTAAAAATACAGAAAATTCTGTTTTTAGTTGCTTTTTCCAAATATGCCAATTTCAAAAATTAGTGAAAGAGTCCATTACCGCGGTAACTAAGAAGGGGTAGAATCCTGTTTTTTTTTTTGTATAGGTATCTCGGATATTCGATAATACTGGGCCTTGGTTTTTTTACGAAAATAAATTATGAACAAAAGAGTTATCAATAATGTTTGTCATGTCATACCAATTTATTTGATCCTCCGAGTCGCTCCGCCGTGATCAAGAAGACGAATTCAAACGTCTCTATCTTTACGTAGTGCTTAGGTCCCCTTAACTAATCTTGAAGGAAAAAAATCTTATTCACATTAAGCTTTGTGCACAATTAGGAAACAAAGCTTGTGAATAAGTTTTTTTTTTTTTCTCAACAATGATGTTTTGTATATACTTCCAAGGTAGGTAGGATAAATCCCGTTCCTAATTGTCGAAATTCAGTTAGCTGACAGCTGACGGTTCATTCCGTTCACATGACTATGGTTGGCACATTTCTCAGCCAGAGGAAACTATAGGTTACACTTGAACTATTTAGGGCCAAATTATGGACCAACTGGTAAGTGTCTGGTTGTTACCTAGCAGGTACTTTCTATTCTCTAGTGCATAGAAAGTACCTGCTAGGTAACAACCAGACACTTACCAGTTGGTCCATAATTTGGCCCTTAGGGACAGTTTTGTAAAAGCATTATTTATATCTTCTATCATTAAAAAAATAAGCCAATTGCCTGTTTGATATACCTACCCTAACCGAGTAAAGAAAAATATTAGGTATCCTATTTAAAATAACAGGATGAGCTGAAATCCATCTTTATCAATGCGGGGAGCTTTTCAAGCCTAAAACAACGCTAAAATTTATATCTTAATAGGAATATACTAACCAACCGTTGCGAAGATACCGTGGTATAAAGTTCCCACTCTCAGCCACTGCGATGTCATATGCACAAACTTAATCCGCCGGCCGGCGTTGGACGTACGTTTGCTCATGCTTGCTGAATATATTATCGACATTATAGTATTGTTTTTGCGTTCTCATCCCTAACGCTGCGTCAGTTTAAATAGGTTTTGTAATCTTTGCGCGTGTTTATGACATCACGCGATGAATAGAATATTATTTCGGGAATTTTTTTCTTTATTTTCTGAATACAAGCTGTATTTTATTGTTACACCCCCTTTAAGATCTTATGTGGCTTAATATATATACTATATTTTTGACATAGATAACCCTCTTGTGTATCTCTATTTTATTATTCAGCTGGTACATTTTCCACAGCTTGACTCAATAACAAATTGTAGTTTCTAAAGAGAACAATATTGCAAACAACACAAATCTACAGTAATAGGTTTTCACATTTATTTAAAATATATTACAGCGAAGCTAGCGACATCAAAATATTTCCAAAGAAATTTGTCGGATTCTCTAACGCTTTCAGGTTCGACAGCTGTTTTCTATTGCTGTCACGTGTCGGGTCATCGGTAAACAGCAACAGCAAGTGCCAACAACAGGAAAAGTTTCGAAAAAGGGTAGTTTGTTAGAGCGGATGTATTGTTTGGAATGTAATGTAAAGCGGAGGTCGTTGCTGTTGGTTCACCTAAAAAAAATAAATATATATTGCACTAGTATGAAGCAACTACGAGTTTCGAATAATGTAAATTCCCTTGTTAAACTTTCAAATAAAGTTTTAGCAAGTAGCTGCAACTTAAATCAGCCGAGATTCGCTTAGTAGAAACTTTCTTTACTTTACCTTTGTAATGCACAATGACTTGAACACTAGCTTGGCGCGCATTCGATGGAACACAAGAATAGTTTCCGGCATGTTGAGGTAAAGCTCTTTGGAAGATCAGCTCTGTTCCTAAACGGCCTTCTCTCACCACAGCACCATCTGTTAAGTCGTAATTTATCATTCGATTGCCATAGTACCTGAATAATTGTTTCCAAATTAGAATGATCTATTGTAAGAAAAAATATACTTACCAAAACATATATGTAGGTCTTTTCTTTATTCTGTATTGACTTGTTGCATTTATAATGCAACTGAGTCTAATTGGGAATCCTTTGTCGACTTCTTTAATGTTGGGCCCCAAGATTACAGCACGCGCCTCTAAAAAATAATTCTCAAGAAAATTGAAAATGTAACAGAAATTCCAAATTTTAGTCTTTAAAGTTAACTGCTAAATTAAAAGTTTTAAATCATTTCCTTTTTCCTCGACTAAACCAAATTCACTACGACATCTTATTAAGTATTTTTTATTAAAGCATTCAAGTTTCCAAAAAAAAAAAACAATTCCTAGTTATTTAGATAAAGACTGGTTTTTGAACATTCAGACCTTATTTATAGTTACCGCATTCTAGGATTACCTATTAAAAGTTTTTGAAAGTTTGTGAAATCTAAAATTAAATGCTTTTGGTGTTCATCTAAAGAAACTTTGTTAAAAAGAACTCGAAATTATTGGGTCTCTCAAAATTATTTCATGATTTCTGGTGACTGATTTCGGATAGTCAACTTATAGCCTTTCAACAACCCACAAAGTCCCCAAAGATTCTTATTATTGAAAATTCTTCCAGGCTCATCAAAGCAAAATCCACTAGTTACTTTATTCAACTTCATCTTCAACAATTCTCTCATTGAAACTGACTGCTAACTTACAAACTACGCGCTTAAGATACGATACCATTCAATCGAGTTCCATCTATAAAATTCTTGTAAATTTTTCCTTTTTCAATACACACAAAGGAAACGAATTACAGATTATTCTCACACCGGTAGTGCACCGTGGCACTGACTTTTCCGCACCAAGATAACACTTCCTTCCTCTCAAATCAGATCGTCTAATTATTACCCTGATAAATATTTGCCATGTCAAGATGTATTATCTTCTCTTCTACGTCTATACCCCCAGTCACATCCGAAATGACCCGTCCTTACGTTGCCCATCTTCCTACTACCAGCAGTACCATGCATTTCAGAGTCCTTAGAGTCGTGTCTTTGGAAATAGCGTCCTTTAGATCTCCGTTCTTCGTCCTCCTCATATCTAGGATGCCTTTTTATCCATTCAGGTCTATTCTCGAGTCTATGCGGTTAATTTTTCATAGGACGATGCTTTGAAAAACGTACTCTT